ACTTGAAAAAAAAATATGCTGGAGATTTTTTTCATAGCCTGAATGAAGTTTTTTTTTTCTTTCTTTCTTTAAGAAAAACGAGATTAATTGTTGATGAAAAGTTTACAATCTTGTGTTAAAAAAAAAAAAAAAAAAAAAAAAAAAAAAAAAAAAAAAAAAAAAAAACTCAATTTGATTCTTAAAAGAAATATACCGGGAAAATTGTTTGTGAAAATTATGTATTTTCTCTGGTCTTTTTGTGTTTTGGCTGTCCATATGATGCTGCAAAATTACTTATATACTAAAATACGGGAGTGGTATCTATGAGACGAATTCAAACATGGCGGTGGAAAGAAGTTTGCCGAAAAAGCTATACAATTTATCCTGAGTCAACTGAAGGTTCAGTGTTCCATATTGACTGAAATATTTGGACGTATTTCTGCCAAATGAAACTATGTGCATTAAACCATGAGGCCTGAGACGCATTAGAATATATGCATAACAAGGCTCACTTCATATAATGCACATAGTTCCGTTGGATAGAAATACGTCCATTTGTTTGGCTGTTCAAAGTCTCAAGTTTGTTGGCTTGTTCAAAGTTTTGGCTTGTGTATTCAAAGCACCTTTTCTACTTCAGTCAAATCCGAAAATTTGGCTACGAACCGGAAATGTAGTTACACGAACGGAGAGTTCGGTTCGAGAAACCGAGAATTCCAATCGATATTTAACATCAAACCTTTAAATTATCTGACAAAATGTTTCATTCCACGCAGAGAATTTTTCTTTTAGTTCTATCTCAACAGTCAAATGTCAAATATATGACAAAAAGACGGAAAATTTCAAAATTCCTAGAGTGTTTTAGACAAGCTGTATTATCTAGTATCCTTTTGTTCCTTTAAACCTTTGCAAATATTATTTGTGTGGATAGATTTATAAGAAACATAACTTTTTTTAAGTTAGACTCTTTAGCCATTTATTTTTAAAAAAAAGTAGGTATAAGAAAAAAATGGATGAGGATGACGCGACAATTAGGAATCATTCTTTCATAGGAACCTGGAAACGCTCATCTGACCCAGAACGAATTTAATGGAAGTGCTCAGAATGTATAATGGGTGCTTTTAAGCTATGCACAGAACCGCATTAATTCATCTCTCTAATTTAATTTAATTTATCTTAGCTCATAGCTACACGCAATGCGTCGCTAACTTGTACACTGCGTCTGCCTGGCAGATAAGAATCTAGTTCATTTGGACCAAAAACCTGCCAACCTTGACAGTAAGTTTACTGCTTCGAATAGGCTTGCCAGGTTGTGAGTTTATCTAATAAAAGTCTCTGTTTCACGACTATTCCGTGAGAGAAAGTGTGAGATTTTGTATACAGAAATGACAATGATGCTAAAATCACTCAATGCCTCGCCAGAAATGTTGCACTATGGCACTCTTTGGTGCAATGCCGGGCGAAAGGGCTCTCCTCTCACGCCGTGGAGTCCTTCTGTACCAAAATTATGAAAGTATACGGTCAACTCAGATGCTTTATTAAATGTCTAGGTAGATGACCCATGATTCCATCTTTGTCAGGAAACTTTAGATTTTTCCAAATTTTTGGCGAGAATGTGCTCCACATAAAAAAGCGCATCGTTAAAAATGCTTGATTGACGCATGATTGTTTTTAGAGCTGATAGCACTAAGTAAAAGTTTTACCCCAAAATTGCATGATCCCTCACAAAATACAGATTCAAAGGTTTGACGAGTAATAACTGATGTAAAAATTGTTGGACCTTTAATTTTAACACAAATTATCATTTTCAACAATGTTCATTTTCAAAACACTGATACAACGCAAAAACTTCACTGTATTTTAAGAATCCTCACACAAATATCATGACGTGACTTCCGAAGTGTGCTCAAAATATTTTTCAATCCAACGTGACCTGGTTTGCATGGGCGTAGCTAGGGGGGGTCCTGGGGGGCCTGG